TCAGGCAGGACCTGCCTTTGATGAACCCATGCTGATTGCCCCTGAGCATGATCTCCCCTGCTGGCCCCCCCACAGATGTGCTCCTTGTTGATTCTCTCTAAGATCTTCCTGAGCACCGAGGTGAGGCTTACAGGCCTATAGTTACTTGGGTCCTCCTTCCTCCCTTTCTTGAGAATTGGGACCGCATTAGCCAGTTTCCAATCCCCCGGCACCTGGCCAGATGACCACAAATACTCATACAGCCGGGCCAGGGTCTCCGCGATGACCCTTGCCAGCTCCCTCAACACCCTTTGGTGGAGGGCATCTGTACCTGCAGATTTAAAAATGTCTAGCCCTTCCAGAAGATCCCTAACTACATCTGCGCTGACTGAAGGCCTGACAGAGCTATTCCCGAGATTGTCCCTACCTCTGGTAGGTGGGATGTCCCGGTCCCTGTTCAAGAAAACAGAGGCAAAGAAACTGTTACAAATATCAGCTTTCTTGTCTGGCATAGCCACAAGATTACCGTTTGTGTCTTGCAGGGGTCCTACATTGCCTGGTGCCCTCTTCTTCCTCCCAATGTACTTGAAAAAGGACTTTTTGTTGTCCTTAATCCTGGACGCTAGCCTGAGTTCCATCTCTGCCTTGGCCTTCCTAATAGCCCTCCTACACTCCCAGGCCGAGGAGGAGTACTCCTCCTTGGTGATAGCTCCTCCCTTCCACTGGTTGTATGCCCCCCTTTTAGTCCTCAAGCATTGCTGAATGCCCTTGCTGAGCCAAGGGGGTTTCTGAGCCCTCTTACCCGCCTTGCTTCTCTCAGGGACTGTTATCCTTTGGGCCTGGAGGATTGCCCCCAGAACACGTGTAAAAGCATTCAATAGCTTAAAAGATTTCAAATGGAATGGACATGAGTACAGATACCCAAGCTTGGATTTTTTTTCCTGCAAAGTCTGCCACCTTTGCCTAGGCCTGAAGGAAACTGCAAGACACTGTTTCCCATCTCTCTCTCCCTTTAAAGAATCAAAGTATATAAACAGTATCCGCTTTATGTTCTGATCCTCCAGTGAGCTCCGCACGGGCAGATCAACGTTAGAATTGCTAGTTTATACAGCATTTTTTCCTTCCAGGTGTCCTCAGACTGCTTTACAAACACTATCAATTAAGTTTCAATAATGCTTGCTTCACAGATAAGTCACAGATGGGTGATCAAAGCAAAGGGTTTACATTATTTGTCTAAAGTTAGAAAGTGAATAAATGGCAATTTTGAATACAGTCTCCAGGAATACCATGCCACACTTCCACCTCCAGTACAGCATGCCAGTTGTAAAAAAAAAAAAAAAAAAAAAAACACACACAGTGGAAAACTGGCCTTCATTTCTTGTTTGGAAGTGTGCTGAGAAGTAAAATTAGTTAAAGGCATTTTTTAACATCTTTACAAGAAGAAATGTTCTCTACTAGCAGTGACAGAGCAACATGTACAGTGTCCACATGGAATAGTATTGTCAGTGGTAAAAGTCTTCTTTACTTCATTTCCTGGGCTATCAAAAATATTCAAACTATGATATTACAGTTTATTTCCTCAAATGAAATGCTATATCATGTATGCAGCCAGCCCCAGTAATGCCAGGTGTGCAGCAGGCTTCTGTTCTTGTATATTAACATGAATCTACATTTAAATGGAAATTCGGACAGTAGTTCACATGGGCATCGCTCAGAGCACCTGTATCAGTCCACAAAATAAACTCATGCTATATTGCAGAGGAAAAAAAAATCAAGTTTCCATTTGAAAAGCAAATTCAAAGTATGGACTTTTCTGAAATTCTACACAATCATTAAGCTGTAAGTAGCAGCACCCTCCAAAACTGTGTTAATTCAGTTTTCCAGGAGCTGCTAAAATAAGAGGCAGTGGCCTCTGTACATCTTCATACTATGACCATTCTATTCTTTTCTTTCCCTCATTCCCAAGTGCCAGGGGCAGGTTTAGCTTCTGAATTGGAAGAGATGGAAAGATCACTTAATGTTGTCTTGGCCCTTCAAATTCTTTAACTAAGGGGGTGCTGAGCACTTGGCTGAGATAAAAATCAAGCCTGTAGTCCACAAGACTGCTGATTCTTTACATAATTAGAAAATAACATTAAAAAATGTAAAAAGACTACAATATTTTGTGATGGGGTTATATAAATTACAGTTTTATTTTTTTTTAAGTAAATTGCCTGTTACAATTTGTATATATTAAATCTTATTTATATGTTATTTAGAGAATAAATACAATAAATAATATTTTCCCCCTTCCATTATTGGTGCTGCAGTTTTTGCAAAGCTGCTCGGACTGATGTTAAGAAAGTCATCATATTCCCTGGGGAAGCATCGCAGGTTTCAGTACAAGTAAAGAGTGGCTGTGAAACAAAACAGAAAAGAAGGGTTGTTAAGCTTTTCATAGAAGAGGAGAAAACCATAGCATGATTTCTGCAGATGTAGAGAAGGAGTTCAAATATACTTTTCCTGGGATTAGACAAAGCTTGAGCTTTCAGATCTCTTTAAGATCAGTTCTTCTGAAAGGATGAGGTAACCCTAGCCTTGAGAATTTCCACGTTACTTCTGACTACAGCAGTACTGCCATGACCATAGGGGCTGGCTTTTATTTTTGCCAGGGGAGGCGGGAGGCTAAGATGATGGACATGTAGAAAGTTTTATGCATTTCAAATGACAGCCCTTTTCCTGAGGGGGGCATGGGCCCCCCCATGTACTCAGCACCTCTGGCTACAATTGTCATGTAATGTAGCCACAGTGAGTTATCATTACTCTTGTTGGATTGCACACTGCAGCCATGGGGGCCCAAGTACTTGGGTAAAAACTCAAGTAGTTACTTTTTTTGTGCTGAGCTCCGTGCTGCCTGAGTGAGGTTAAATAAAGTGTGTGCAGGCACAAGAGCGCAGGCACACTGTTTCATTGACTTACATATCACTCAATTTGTCATTAAAAAGCGGTTTATCCATTCTATCGGCTGATGTGTTTTAGCAGTCATGTCTGGCCTATAGATACCAGCAAACTTTTAAATCTCTTTATGCAGCTATATTTGCTATGTACTTTGGACAGGCGTCTGGTGTATGACCGTCCGTCAACCTCAGTCTGAAATAAAATCTGCCCTTCAATCAATATATTATGCTTATTATTCTCTCTCATAATCACCCAGGAAAAGGTCCTGGCAATGATTTTTGTTTGAGGAACTTGGAACTACTGTTTTAATCCAACAGCATTTCCAATGTTCCTTTTTTATTTCTCCACATTGCTTTTAGCCAAATCTCCATTGTCACCATCTGTCTTAAATCTTCAACTGGACAACTCTATACAAAGAGAAGGCTCTTCCAGGAATCCACTGGTTCATGAATACAAGAGAGAAACCCTTAGTTATTCCTTTGTGTACTCTCCATCTTGTACAGAAATGCACAGGCCTCCTTTACCTGGCCGGGAAAATTGCCTTTGTTTCCTCCTTTAGTTCTAGTAATACTGCTCCTGATTTCATTAGCAATGTTTCTTTGAGTGTCTATATGTAAACGAATACGGTAGCAAGTTGTTGTTTTTTTTAAACATCAGCTGATAAATTTACAAAGGGTAAAGATAAATTTACAAAAAACAAAACTGCCCCAAAAAAGCACTGAAATAGATGCCCAGATTCTGGCAGTCAGCAATTCCTGGGCTACCCCCCTTATGTATGCAAATTTAACCTTTCAGGAGCATGAAACAGTTCTCCAAGAGTCCATACACAGAAGATGATACTTTAGTCAGGAGATAACTCTTTTAATTTATATAGATTGTCCCTTCATATATTGCAGTACAGCTTCTGTCAAAGAACCACCTGAAGAGTGGTTCAAATGCTGAAAGGGTGCTTGTGTGGAAGATGGAGGTAGGTTTCTGTGGCTGCAGAGGACAGTACAAGGAGCAAAGGTCTTTAACTGAACCAAGGGAAATTTAGGTTGAATATTAGGAAGATCTCTCTCATTATGAGGGCAGAAAAATAGTGGAACAGGCTACCTACAGAGGTTGTGGAATCTCTATCCTTGGACATTTTCAAAAGCAGGTTAGACAGACACATGACTAGGGATGGTTTAGTCGGGGACAATCCTACCCTGACCAGGGGGTTGGACTAGATGACTTCCTGAGGTCCACTCTAGCCCAACTATCCTATGATTCTGAGAGTTTATGGGTACTGAGAAAAACTAGGTTGGTTTAATTTTCACACCTCTCCCCCACAGTTGGGCAACCATCTTCAAGGTAGACCTTTATTCACAGGGCTCGCTTATGCCAAAGAACTTAGCCAGAAATGCAAACAAATAGGTTCCAAAACTCCTACTTAAAATGTAGAAATAGTAGAAGATTACTTACTGCGCACAGCTTCCAGTTTTGAAGTTGCTGAAGGGAGCGATACAAACGCCTACCTTCACTGCCAATAGTAGACAGTTTTTCTTCTATTTCTTCATTGTGTTTCTCAAAGCATGTTAAACAGGCATTCTGGTAAACAAATAATATATTATAGAAAACCATACATAGGCTAGAATATATTTAGTGTTCATCTCCAAGAACCAATAAATTATAATCCAGTAACATAGCAGCATTCCACCACTAACGGGAAACAGATATTTGCACTATATTGCAGGATGTGTGAAGACTTTTCCCTAGTTTTTAAAACAGCAGTTATATGTTTAGTGAGAAATAAGATGCCATATTTCACCAAAGCCTTGAAAACTTGACAACATTAAATAAAAGCCATTTGAAATATAATGCAAGTTAAATTTAATTTTTATTATAATTGAGGTAGTTAAAAATGTCATAGAGGCATGACTAAACCCCAGGACTAGGAGTTGTCAGGTCCAGTCCTGTGTTGCCTTTGGGCCAAATTAACAAGCTTAAAGATGAAGACAGACCCTTAGCAAAATTTCCAAATTCACCTACTTGGCCTTGTTAGGCACTTAAATTTACTATTGTAAATCAGTCCCATAAGCAATCTTGAGCAGGATTCTGAAATTAATCCTGGTCTCCACTGATATTAAAAGGACACAGAAAGTGGGGGCAGGAAGTGTTTGGTGTTCAAGTATTAAGAAACTTCTTTCTAACCTTAAAAAATGTAAATGAACTAACTGAACACCATAAGCATCGACAGTAGTTAAAGAGACATGCAGAATATTGACTTACGTTTGGAATGGGAAGACATATGCATGACTGAAAATGAAAAAAAAAGAAAGCATTAACATGCTAGCATAATAAATATTTAGCATGCAGTTTATAATATAGTTTTGCAGCAGTTTTCAAATGGAGAGTTTACTCACATTATGGTTAGTTTCATTACACTCACAGTCTTCAAGCTTTCCCTAAAAACCAATAAAAGATCCATAAGAATCACCTTATAATTTGCAAACATGTCTTTTGTACAGAATCAAGATGCTACACAGCCATATCACTTACAAGTAACGTGTTTGTAAGATCGATAGTTTCACGAACTCGGCAAATCGTACGTGCTTGCACAACAAGCAGCAAACAGGAGAAGAGGATATACAGCAGCATTCTGGCTTCAAATACAACTCAGTCTGATGGCTGACAGAAGGGGCAGATGCTCCTTTTAAGAGAGTCTTGCACAAAATTCCCTTTCTAATGGGGGAAAACCCACCATTCCTTCCAATCAAATGTGAAATTGAGTCATGTACAGAAGCCACTTTGCCTTCAAGCTGTGGAAATTCGTGAATGCTCCTCAGAGATGACTAATTTATGCATTGCTGCGTCACACACACCACAGTCGGAAAGAGTAGCTGAATTACCTTCCACGAAAGCAATTTTGTAGAAAGCTCAAATTAGGAGACCGTGAGGCTGCAGGATCTTGCTAGGAACATGGATGTAGAAATGCCCAAGTCCCGTTCCACACTGGGTTTCCCTGGTGGAGTGGCATCCATGGGGAATTACAGCTGCAAAGCTTGTGAGTACCGTTTTATGGCACTTGGTTCCAATCTCAGCTTCCCTGAAGAGTCACGCCACTGCAAAGAAAACAGAATCAGGCCCCGAGGATGCAAGTCTTCCAACACAACAACCTGCTCCATTTTTTGGGAAAGACTGATTATGAAAAAACATACTAAATGACCAACTAGGCATTAGGCTGAAAATCCAGAACAGTAGGCAAAGAACATGAAGCAGCAAGAATGCCAGATTTTAGTGCCAAGGTTTCTTTCTTTCTTCAAGCAACACTGCCACTCCCCTCCCACGACGCCTGCCCCCTTTTCCACCACCGCACCCCTTTTGCTATCATAGATATGTCAATCTGAGCTTCTGTGTTTTCACACAGGCCCCCTGACCAAAAGCTTGAATCCTCCATGGGTCTCTGGTCTCGTCTGGTCTCTCAGCTAAGAAAGGCTGTGCAATTCATTGGAACTTCTTTGATGAGAGAAATCATCCATCTCTGCTTTGCTCTTGCATCTTGGGGAGGTTCTGACACATGCTCGTCAGTCAGGGCTTCACCTGGGCACGTCCTAACTTGGTTACCTCCCTGTGTTTGAAGGATCATAAAAGCAATTTCCACTTAGCTTTTATAGCTGCTTCACTGCCAATAGGCAGAGTGGGTCATCTGCTTGTTTCCCATTGAATGTCTTTCCTTGCATGGCTTAGTGTGGGATGTGTACATCCTATTATCCATACACCTTCAAAACAGACCTATGGGTATTTCTAGAAAAAAACAGATGCCCTCCCCTAGCAGGAGGAAGTTGGCAATGCTGCATGCTATGGCTCCACCGTGTTCCACTTGAAAGGAATGGTTTGCAGGGACCGATGACACTTCAAGGCGCAAGCAGTGGCAAATGTTATGATATTTAGCATAGTCTGGGACCAGAATTAAGAGTTTCCTTGAATGACTATTGCTGACAACTACTATGGGCTATTGAATAACTACTTTACTTGATAGCTGTGTAAACTTTCTTCTGAGGAAACAGATTTTGTCTGAAACAGAGCAGTGTGTGTGCCATTCTGTCTACTTGTTTGGACAGTATTGCCCCGAGGCAGGATTCAGATTTCTTGGTTGAAATACAAATCTCTTAACAAAACTGAGGGATTTGTATCTACTCAACTTCTCCAAAAGTTAAAGGTGGCAGATTTTTATGCAGTGAACTTGGCCAGGGGGAATTGCTTTAGTTATAAGCTCTGGCATAAGCCTTCAGCCTTGGATAGCCTGGGAGTTCTCCATTTTTTCCTGCTCGGGGCTAGGGACACGCATTCAAAAAGCCAGAGCCTGAATTGATTCAAACTTTTCAGCTTAGTCTAACCTGCCAAGGTTAAACCAGTTTGTATCTGTAGAGACATCCACCCTGGACTGTGAAAATGTGGGCACATGCCTGCAGTTGCTCAGGCCACGAACCCGGGGGGGGGGCACGTGCTAGAATGTGCCCTCCACTGCAGGGGAGCTGTGCTGGGGGTGGTGTGGCTAGTCAGGGCTGAACTGGCCAGAAAGGGATTTAATTCCCCACTCCCTGTCCCACTGGCAGGGACCAGAGCCAGGTCTGCCGGGCGCTTCACCCCTCACTCCTGCCTGCAGTGGGGGGTGCTATGGCCACTGAGGCAGAGGGGGCAGGGAGAGGGATTATTTTCCCCTCTACCCCCACTGCCCCCCAGGGGACTGCAGCCGGGTCTGCCTGCTCTGACCATCACTACCGAGTGGCAGAATAAGCCCCCTGCTGTCCCCTCTGCTGGAGGCTGGAGGGAGGGGGAATAACCCCTATCCCTGCCCACCCCCAGGGGCCCTGCCAGCTGTCGTCTGGCCCCACCAGATGGGGGCTGACTGAGAAGCAGGCTTCCTGGGCCAGCTCAGAAGTGCTGGCGAGCCTCTAACCCAGCAGCTGCCACTGCTGTGCCCCCTGCCCTGTGCAGCAGCAGCTGTGGGCTGTCTGGAGTGGGGCAGCTGTTCGGTCCCCAGCTGCCACTGCCATGGCTGCACCATGCTACCCTGGGTGGTGGGAGGGAAGCTTCTGCCTTGCACATGGAGCTCTGTCTCTGGCTCCAGCTCCCGGACACCTTGTAAGGTTCCCAGGTGGAAGGTTTCATTCCAGAGCCTGTAGCCAGAGCTCCACACATGGGGCAGAGGCTGCTCCCCACTCCCCTGCTGCCTCCTCGAGTGGCTCAGAAGTGGCAAGAACAGCTGTGACTCCTACTGCACTGCACAGCATTGCTTGGGGCTGGGGGAGTTTCCTTCAGCCTGGCCCCAGTCCCAAGTAGCTCTGTGTGGTGCTGCCCCAGTGGGCTAAAGGGAGCTCCCCCAGCCCCGAGCAGCCCCAGCCCTGAGTGGTGCTGCACTGTGCAGCAGGAGCTGCAGCTGGAGGCAAGGGGAGGCATGCAGCCCTACCAGTCCGAGCCAGCTTCCCCTCACCTGCAGCAGTTAGTCCCCGTCCCATTCCTGTCGCTCCTGAGCCACTTCAGGAGGCGGTAGTGTGGGGAGCTTCAGCCCAGTAGTTTCTGCCCCATGCATGGATCTCCGGCTGCAGCCTTCGGACTGAAGCCTTCCACCTGGGCACCTTCTGAGGTGTCTGGGAGGTGGAGCTGGAGCTCCATGTGTGGAACAGGAGCTTCTGGCCCCTCCCCGCCCCAAGCGGTGTGGCATGGCCCTGGCAGCTGGGGACAGAACAGCCCCTCGCCCCAGCTAACTCACAGCTGCTTCTGCAGCTGTAGCCCCAGGTGTTTCACAGGACAGGGGGTGCAGTGGTAGCGGCTGCTGGGCTCAGGGCCTGCTGACACCTCCAAGATGGCCTGGGAAGCCTGCTCTTCAGCAAGCCCCTACCTGGTAGGGTCTCTTGGAGAAAGGGTCAGAGAGGAGATTATTCCCCCTCCCTCCCGCATCCAGCAGAGGGGACAGCAGGCACTTATTCTGCCGCTCAGCAGCAGCAGCCAGAGCATGTAGACCCAGCTACAGTCCCCCGGGTACAGTTGGGGTAGAAGGGAGAATAACCCCCCTCCCTGCCCGCACTACCTCAGCAGCCCTGGCGGCCCCCCGCTGCAGCAGCGAGTGAGGGAGTACCCAGCAGACCTGGCTTCAGTCCCTGCTAGTGGGACAGGGAGGGGGGAATTAAACCCCTTTCTGGCCAGACCCCCACCCCTGCCTATCCCTGCTCTGGCTGGGGAGCAGAGGGGCAGCACCAGCGCTGCTGGGCTGGAGTAGAGAGTCCAGCCAAGAGAGTACATGCTGGGATGCTGGGGGACTCTGGTTTAAGTTAAAGTTAAATCAGGAAGGGGTCTGGGACAGACATTGCATAAACTGGTTTGAGCCAAATCAGTTAAGTCTGATACTGCATTCATCCAGATTTATCTCAAATCAGTTTCAGCCATTTTGAAACTGGTTTATGTGCACTGAATGGCTATTCTGTTACAGGTTTAAACCAGATTCTGATCACTTAAACCAGTTTATGTGTAATGTCTGTCCCTAATCTAAGGGTATACATTTTACATTAAAGTTCAGATTTTGCTGTCAGCTGGATTTAGTCTTTTACCTAGGGATCATCTCAGCTAACAGGCTTCACACACCCTGATGGCATACTTAGTAGTGTTTGCTTGTTGGTCTGCTGCCTCTGTTCACTATCAAAGTATGACCCCTTCCTTCTTCAGGTGGGAATCTGAGGCATGGAACAATCCACAACATACAGAGGAAACATGTTTCTCCCTGACTTCAGCACAAAGGGAGTCTGCTCCTTTCCTTCTTTGAGATCTAACACAAATAACATAACCAGGGCTCATCTGGGGGCTGGACCCAATGATCTTCCACGGTCTCTTCCAGCCTTACAATCTATGAATCTAAATATCAAAAAGTTCATGGAGGGGTGGTGGCCTATAAATTAAATTTATACCCAGGACACCTATGTAGCATTTTGCTGTACATGGGACACATTGAGGTCCATGCCAGAATGGCTGAATGTCCTCCCATTAGGCATCCTTCAACACAGAGCTTATGTGAAATCTGATAAGCTTGATTCCCAGTAAAAACCGGTATGATAGAGGAAGTCACCTATTCTGCTTTGAGCTTATCTGTGAACTTGTAATACATTTTCATTGGAGATAATGCATGCCTCACTTCTGAAAACACCTCACAGAGCACATGGAGAGCAAGAGATACCTTCCCTTTGCATTTTCATTTTCTTGAGTGAAAATAATAATGGCTTAATTGTTAGCTGTAAAGCAGCAGCGTAGCAACCTGCGTGGAAGAAGGCCTTCATGTTGGAGATGTTTGGGGAAGGCCCCAGGAATGGAGTCTGTTTGCCCGTGGCTGGTACGCTATCTGCAGCAAGTCTAGAAACAGTCCTCTTCATGAATAGTTGGTTGAGTTCTACAAGGCTGGAACCCTTCCATGTTATTACTTGGCATATGGAACAGGAAGTGTACAGGAGATGGGAGGATGAGGGTTAATCAGGTGAAAATTTTCTGTGTTCTGGGAAAAATCTCTTCTAAACCCATCAAAAGTCTTGAAGGGCATCATTTTGGAATGAGGGGAAGTTATATCCAGTTCCTTCTATCCCAGTTTAGTGAAGCCAAAAAGAATAATCCAC